CTTGTCGTGCTGAATCACCAGCAATATGAGTCTAGTGAGCAACCTGGTCTAGTGGAAGGTGTTCCTGCCCATGGCAGAGGGTGGGAACAAGATGGTCTTTAAGGTCCTTCCAACCCAAACCATTCTGTGATTCTACAAAGCAATGAGCATTGGGTGAACATTTTGTAGTCCCTGCTAAGGACCTTCCTGCAGTTTGCACCTCTCCTCCCCAACACAGACATCTCATGTCACTCCCTGGTTTAGGTCTAAAGACCAAGCAGCAAACAAATACCACACAAGCATTGCATGGCGTGGTGGGAGAACCCACTACAGTCAAAACACGGATGTGTTTATTAGTAATGAGCGATAAAACCTCCACCAGCAGCGAGAAGTGTCTAAGCCTGGTTATGCATCAGCGTGTGACATTTGGACATGTCTCTTTCCAATGCACTGAGCAGTACTCAATGGCTCACAAGCCCATCACACCCTAAAGGCACTTCCCAAAGAACACCATCATAAACAGCTCATGAGTGCACAATGCCCAGGGGTTAATCCAGGTGCCTGCTGGGCACCTGGAGACTTGGCTGGGCTATGGAGCAATGAGGAGGTGTGGAGAACACCCATCTGAAGCCACACTCAAACCGTGGTGCCTTTGGATTTTATTAGTCAAGAGAAGACTTTTTGTTCTGTTAATTTGGGAATAACCTGCTTTCCAGTGACTTTGGGATCTTGATAGACTGTGACTTCTTTTTATGGGACACCAGCCATCATGGGAGGGATGTGCTGGAATGTCTCAGCTCCAGACAAGAGAAAGGCAGTGCTCACATCACCTCCATGCACTGCTCCCCAGCAAATGGAGGGGAAATCCAGGTTACCTTTCCCTCACTGGGTAAATTTCACAGTGACATTTACACTTTTACATTGACTCTCTGAGGGCAGGATGAGGTCACTGGAAAGTTTGATACTTCCAAAAAACCACAACAAGCAGTTTCTTTTAACTGGGAATCATCCAAGAAAACATTCTGAAAAAAACTTATTAGCTTATGTTTACTGCAAACCCAGGACCTGAAAAACAGCATACAGACAAGCATTATAAATCTGTTATTAAGGAGATTCCAGAAGTGCCAACAGATCCCTGACAGTACAACTTTGTTTGCCAAAAAGGGCCATTTTTTTGAGAACAACGCTTGGGTTGTATCTTCTGGCCAGTTCCAGTTCCCAGTCAAGTTTTATGTTGGTTGTTCCTCAGCTGAACTGTGAAATCAAGCTCTGAGAACAGGAATGACGCTGCCATGCTCCGGTGCAGAGCAGGGGGGATTGTTTCTTCTCCTTCCAGTTTGGAGTAACGTGATAAAAAACTTCCCCACATTTCTTCTCCTTAAATCTCATAATATCTGTAGTGACAGGATAAGGAAGAAAGGCTTCAAACTGACAGGGCAGGGTTAGACTAGATATTAGGAAGAAATTCTTGGCTGTGAGGGTGCTGAGGCACTGGCACAGGTTGCCCAGAGGAGCTGTGGCTGCCCCAACCCTGGAAGTGTTCCAAGTCAGGCTGGGTAAAACCTTGAGCAACCTGGTCTAGCGGAAGGTGTCCCTGCCCATGGCAGGAAGGTGGAATAAGATGCTCCCTTCCCACCCAAACCACTCTATGACTCCATGATAACTGCCTCCCTCCCATGGGATCAGGAACTAAAACCCATCTGTGAGTCTCTTCCAAGCCATGGCAAAGGGACAAAAGTGGTTTCCCCTGCCACTGATGGGGTGGAAAAGCTCCAGACAGGTGGAAAACCAAACCAGGAGTTTTAAACCACCTGCCAGCCACTGCTCTTTCCAGATACTTTATCTTTCCAGATGTTACATCCCATCTGCAGTGGTGAGGAGGCACTAGGACCACCTCCATCTTTATCCTCACCAGGCTCTCAAGAAGACACCAGGTCCATCCCATTTCCCAAGGATGACTAGCTCTACCCAAATTGCTCCCAAGTCACATCCATCCATCCATCCATCCATCCATCCATCCATCCGTCTCCAGCCCTTGCCAGCTCTGCCCTCACTCCAGCTCCCCAGAGCCCTGTGGTTACAGCAGCAACCACGAGAGAATGGACTTTCTATAGACACGAAGGAGATGAAAACCCCCCCAGAACACAGAGCTGAGTTCCCATTTCCTGGCATTACTGTGCTAATAAAAGCTGAAAAGGATTTCTTTGTCTGCCTGGATCGATTTGAGGCTCCCTTCCTGGCAGGCATCTCCATGACAGCACCTCACCAAGGAAAGGTGCCATGTCTCATCGGTACAGCCAGCCTGCTCTGAGAAGGGACACTGGGACTGGTCAGAGAAGGCAGGTCTGCAGGAGAAGGACCTGGGGATCCTGGTGGACAAGTTGTCCATGAGCCAGCAGTGTCCCCTGGGGGTCAGGAAGGCCAATGGGATCCTGGGGTGCAGTAGGAAGAATATTGCCAGCAGGTCAATGGAGGTGATCCTGACCCTCTGCTCAGCCCTGGTGAGGCATATCTGGAGTGCTATGTCCAGTTCTGGACTCCTCAGGACAAGAGAGACATGGAGCTCCTGGAAAGGGCCCAGCAGAGGCTACAAAGGTGATGAAGGGACTGGAACATCTCTCGTATGAGGAAAGGCTGAAGGAGCTGAGCCTGCTCAGTCTCAAGAAGAGATGACTGAGAGAAACCTCATCCATGTCTGTCAGTATCTGCAGGGAGGTGTCAGAGGATGGATCAGGCTCTGCTCAGTGGTGCCAAGCAGTAGGACAAGAGGCAATGGGCAGAAACTGATGCACAGGAAGCTCCCCCTGAACATGAGGAAGAACTTCTTCACTGTGCAAATGTCCATGTGCTGGAACAGATTGCCCAGATTCTCCCTCACTGCAGATATTCAAGAACCATCTGGACACAATCCTGTGCGATGTGCTCTGGGATGGCCCTGCTTGAGCAGGGAGGTTGGACCAGATGACCCACTGTGTTCCCTTCCAACCTGATCCATTCTGTGACTTCACAGAAGCATGAAGCT